GATGGTCTCGATCTCTTGACCTCGTGATCCACCCGCCTCGGCCTCCCAAAGTGCTGGGATTACAGGCTTGAGCCACCGCGCCCGGCCCAGATTTTTAATTTTTTTTGCAGAGACAGAATCTCACTCTATAGTCTAGGATGGTTGTGAACCTTTGGGCTCAAGCCATCCTCCTACCTTAACCTCCCAAAGTGTCGGGATTACAGGAGTGAGTCACTGTGCCCAGCCTTCTTTATAAAATTATTTTTAATGACCTTAATCAATTTTAAGTGTTCAGTTCAGTAATGTTAAAAGAGTGTGTGTGTGTGTGTGTGTGTGTGTGTGTGTGTACATGTACACACACATACACATATTTTTTTTTTTTTGAGACCGAGTCTTGCTCTTTCACCCAGGCTAGAGTGCAGTAGTGGTGCAATCTCAGCTCACTGCAACCTCATCCTCCTGGGTTTTAGTGATTCCTGTGCCTCAGCCTCCCAAGTAGCTGGGATTATAGGGTGTGCCACCACACTCAGCTGATTTTTGTTTTTTCAGTAGAGATGGGGTTTCATCATGTTGGCCAGGCTGGTCTTGAACTCCTGGCCTCAAGTGATCTGCCATGCCTGGTGTGTTAAGTATATTCACGTTGTTGTGCAGCTGATCTCCAGAACCTTTTTCATCTTAAAAAACCAAAACTCCATCCCATTAAACAGATCCTCATTTCTCCCCACACCCTCTGTAACCACTATTTTACTTAGTATTTCTATGGATTGGAAGTAGAGCAGTGTTTGCCAGGCACAGTGGCTCACACCTGTAATCCTAACACTTTGGGAGGCTGAGGTTGAGGGGGATCACCTGAGGTCGGGAGTTTGAGACCAGCCTGGCCAACATGGTGAAACCCTGTCTCTGTTAAAAATACAAAAATTAGCTCGGCATGGTGGCACATACCTGTAGTCCCAGCTACTCGGGAGGCTAAGGCAGGAGAATCGCCCAGGAAGTGGAGGTTGCCGTGAACTGAGATTACACCACTGCATTCCAGCCTGGGCGACAGAGCAAGACTGTCTCAGAAAAAAAAAAAAAAAAAAAAAGAAAAAAAAAGAAATAGAGCAGGATTTATCTAGAATAGAGCAAAATCATCTGTAGTTTTTCTTTTTGTGACTGGCTTACTTCACTTAGCATAACATCCTCAGGTTTTGTCCATATTGTAGCATGTGACGAGATTTTCTTCCTTTCTAACAACATCAGGCTCTGTCATGGCTCTTATTTCCTGCTCTCTTAGAGTACCAACCGTCTGCTTATCCCTCTACAGTCTTCTGTTCCTCTGTCAAGTGTCAGCTCTTTGGTGGTAGTGCTTTGACTTCCCAAACAGATTTTCGAATTTTATTCCTGCCACACTTTCCCCCACACCATTCCACCATGCATGCTTTCATTAAGTAGTTATTTTATTTTAATCATTTGGCTCTCTCCCATGAATTTCCTTAGCTCTGTAGACAGGAATCATATATTTTCATCTTTGTTTTCCTACATGTAATAATAATTCTTATGATATAGGAAACATTACCAAAAAAGTGTGGATAGGCCAGGTGTGGCTCACACCTGTAATCATAGCACTTTGGGAGGCCAAGGTGAGTGGATTGCCTGAGCTCAGGAGTTCAAGCCAGCCTGACCAGTGTGACAAAACCCCATCTGTAATAAAAATACAAAAATTAGCTGGACGTGGTGGTGCACACCTATAATCTCAGCTGCTTGGGAGGCTGAGGCAGAAGAATCACTTCAACCTGGGAGGCGGAGGTTGCAGTGAACTGAGATCATCCTACCACACTCCAGCCTGAGCGACAGAGCAAGACTCTTTGTCTAAAAAAAAAAAAAAGAAAAGAAAAAGTATAGATAGAATAGGTGAATCATATGGCATTCTGGATTCTATAGCCCATAAAAGGAAGATGTGAGAGCTTTGATGTTAAGTGCAAACTTCACACCCATCCTGTAGCTTTTAAACGCCAGTCAAGGCCATGCACGATGGCTCATGCCTGTAATCCCAGCACTTTGGGAGGCCGAGGCGGGAGGATCACTTGAAGTCAGGAGCTTGAGACCAGCCTTGGCTAACATGGCGAAACCCCATCTCTACTAAAAATACAAAAATTAGCTGGGCATGGTGGCATGCACCTGTAATTCCAGCTACTCGGGAGGCTGAGGCACAAGAATCACCTGGGAAGTAGAGGTTGCAGTGAGCTGAGATTGTCCCATTGCACTCCAGCCTGGGCAGCAGAGTGAGACTTGATATATATGTATATATGAATAAATAAACAAATAAGACTTGATCTCAACAAATAAATAAATAAATAAACTCCAGTCTATATATACATGCCTATTGCTGTCATTTTGAATTCTGTATTGGTGAAATTATTTACTTTAGAATATTTCTACATTAATAGACTGCTCCCTGTCCCGTAAGAGATACTCCATTGAAACCCAGTATCTTTCAAGTATCTTACTGTGTTTTTTTGCAGCATAAACTTGAATGTGATTTACAGCAGAGAGAGGAAGAGATTGCTGAATTGCAGAAAGCTCTAAGTGATATGCAGGTCTGCCTCTTCCAAGAACGGGAACATGTTTTACGCCTCTACTCAGAAAATGACCGACTGAGAATCAGGTACCAAGTAGGAGAGGGGAAAGGTTGGAGTTATAACTTTAAATTACTTTCTTTATTTATTTTTGAGACAGCCTCACTCTGTTGCCCAGGGTAGAGTGCAGTGGCGCAATTTCGGCTCACTGCAGCCCCTGCCTGCTGGTTCAAGCGATTCTCATGCCTCAGCCTCTTGAGTAGCTGGGATTACAGGTGTGCACTGCAATGCCTAGCTAATTTTTGTATTTTTAGTAGACAAAGCATTTTGCCCTGTCAGCCAGGCTGGTCTCCAACTCCTGGCCTCAAGTGATCCACCCATCTCAGCCTCCCAAAGTGCTGGGATTACAAGCGTGAGCCACCATGCCCTGCCCTTTAAATTACTTTTAAAAAGATAAATTTCTCCACATTAATTCTCTTAGGTTGTAATCCATAGGAAACAGACTCTAAGATGGAGATTTGCCTTCAGGGCAGTTATGGGAGAAGCTCTCTGTGATAATAGCCATGAGCAGATTTGGGCAGAGACAGAATAGAAACAGATACAATGGTAACAGAGGCCTTAGCCAACCCCATAGGGAGCACTAAGGATAGGATGGCCTTTCGGTGGCAAAGGACTCAAACTTTTGTGTCCCCACATTGACCGGTCATAGGATGCAAGCTGTCCCCAGGAAGGTGTGTAGACTTGGGAGAGGAAGCCCCCTTGAGCCAAGTGAAATTTTTAGAGAACTGAGCTCCTGGAAGAAGAATGTCTTGGTCCTGAGGGGGAATCTGAGCAGTACACTACACGTTCCACTATAGTACACTTCTGTGTGTGTGTGCTGGGAGTGGGGGGCGGGGGGTAAATTATATGTAACGTAAAGTTTACCATTTTAGCCATCTGAAGTGTACAGTTCAGTGGCATTAAGTATGTTCACATTGTTGCACAACTGTCACCCCCATTCATTTCTAAAACATGTTCATATTCCTAAACTGAAATTGTGTACCCATTCAGCAGTAGCTCCTGCATCCTCATTACCCCAGTCCCTGGGCCACACACCATTCTACTTTCATCTCTATGAATTTGACTATTCTAGGTACCTCATGTAAGTGGAGTCATACAGTATTTGTTACATCGGACTTATTTCACTTAGCATAATATCTTCAGAGTTCATCCATGTTGTAGCATCTGTCAGAATTTTCCTCGTTTTAAAGACTGAACAACACTCCATTATATGTATGTGCCACGTTTTGTTTATCCATTCGCCCACCAGTGTATCTCAGCTCGCTGCAACCTCTGCCTCCCGAACTCAAGCGATCTGCCCACCTTAGCCTCCTGAGTAGCTGGGACTACAGGTGTGCCAACATGCCTGGCTAATTTTTTCTGTAATTTTTATAGAAACAGGGTTTTGCCATGTTACCCAGGCTAGTCTCCAACTCCCAAGCCCAAGTGATCTGCCTGCCTTAGCCTCCCAAAGTGCTGGGATTACAGGTGTGTGCTACTGTGCTCGGTCGAAGCCTTGCTTTTAATTCTTGTGTATCTACCCAGAAGTAGATCATATGGTAATTCTGTTTTTTTTTTTTTGGTTTTTTTTTTTTTTTTTTTTTTTTTTTTTTTTTTTTTTTTTTTTTTTGAGACAGGGTCTTGCTCTGTCACCCAAACTGGAGCACAGAGGCATGATCTTGGCTCACTGCAGCCTTCTCCTCCCAGGCTCAGGTGATCCTCACACTTCAGCCTCCAAGTAGCTGGGACTGCATGCATGTACCACCATGCCCAGCTAATTTTATATATGTATATATTTTTTTGTAGAGATGGGGTTTTACCATGTTTTCCAGACTGATCTCAAATTCCTGAGCTCAAGCAATCTTCCTGCCTCAGCCTCTGAAAGTGCTGGGATTGTAGGCATGAGCCATTGTGCCCAGCCAACACTGGTTATTTTCTGGGGTTTTTTTTTGGAAGTCGGGTCTTGCTCAGTCACCCAGGCTGGAGTGCAGTGGCAGGACCACAGCTCACTGCAGCCTTGACCTCCCAGACTCAGATGATCCTCCCACCTCAGCCTCCCAATTAGTTTGGGGCCACAAGTGTGCACCACTATGCTTGGCTAATTTTTGAAGAGATGAGGTTTCACAGTGTTGCCCAGGCTGGTCTCAAACTCCTGAGCTGAAACGATTTGCCCACCTTGGCCTCCCAAAGTGTTAGGATTACAGGTGTGAGCCACTGTGCCCAGCCTTATTTTCTCTTTATTTGATAGTAACCATCTTAATGGGTGTGAGGGAGTCTCACTGTGGTTTTGATTTGCATTTTAAAATGTTGAGCATCTTTCATGTGCCATTTGTAGTATATCTTCTTTGGGGAAATGTCTGTTACATCTTTTGCCCATTTTAATAATTGGGTTGATTTTGTTGTTGTTGAGTTGTAGAAGTGCCTTTTTGTTGTTGTTGAGACAGGGTCTCGCTCTGTCACCCAGGCTAGAGTGCAGTGGAATGATCATGGCTCACTTGCACCCTCTGTCTGCCGGGCTCAAGCTGTCCTCCCATGTTAGCCTCCCGAGTAGCTGGGACTATAGGCATGTGGCACCAGGCCTGGCTAATTTTTGGGTTTTTTTTGGTAGAGTCAGAGTTTTGCTATGCTGCCCATACTGGTCTCAAACTCCTGAGCTCAAGTGACCCACCCACCTATTACAGGTGTGAGCCACCGTGCCTGGCCATAGAAGTTCTTTATATATTATGGATATTAAACCTTTATTAGATATGCTGATATATGCAAATATTTTCTCCCATTCCATAGATTGCCTTTTTATTTTCTCCTTTTTCTTGTATTTTAGAGACAGGGTATCACCGTCAGCCAGGATGATCCTCCTGCCTAAGCCTCTGGAGTAGCTGGGACTACAGGCACGTGCCACTGTGCCTGGCTAATTTATTTTCTCTTTTGTAGCAACAGGGACAGTCTCACTATATTGCTCAGGCTGGTCTTCAACTTCTGGCCTCAAGTGATCCTCCTGCTTCAGCCTCCCAAAGTGCTAGGATTACAGGAATCAGCCACTGTGCCCAGCCAGGAGTTTTTAATTTTTATGAAGTTCAATTTATGTATTTTTTTCTTTTGTTGCTTCTGCTTTTGGTATCACATCTAAGAAAATTGCCAAATTCATTGTCAGGAAGCTTTTCTTCTATGTTTTCTTTGAAAAGTTTTTTGTTTTTTTGTTTTCTTTTTTGAGTTGGAGTTTCGCTCTTGTTGCTCAGGCTGGAGTACAATGGCGATTCTCCTGCCTCAGCCTCCTGAGTAGCTGTGATTACAGTTATGTGCCACCACGCCTGGCTAATTTTGTATTTTTGGTAGAGAGGGTTTCTCCATGTTGGTCAGGGTGGTCTTGAACTCCCTACCTCAGGTGATCTGCTTGCCTCAGCCTCCCAAAGTTCTGGGATTATAGATGTGAGCCATTACTTCCTGCCTCTTCTAAAAGTTTTAATTATTTTAGCTCTTATGTTTAAGTCTTTGATCCATTTGAGGTTTTTTTTTTTTTTCTTTGAGATGGAATCTTGCCCTGTCACCAGGCTGGAGTGCAGTGGTGCGATCTCGGCTTACTGCAACCTCTGCCCCTCGGGTTCAAACGATTCTCTTACCTCAGCCTCTTGAGTAGCTGGGCCTACAGGCACCCGCCACCATGCCCAGCTAATTTTCATATTTTTAGTAGAGATGGGGTTTCACCATGTTGGCCAGGATGGTCTCAATTTCTTGACCTCATGATCCACCTACCTTGGCCTCCCAAAGTGCTGGGATTACAGGCATGAGCCAGCACACCAGGCCTTAAGTTAATTTTTGTATATAGCGTTAGGTAAAGTTCTAACTGCATTCTTTTGCATGTGGATGTCCAGTTTTCTCAACATCATTTGTTGAAAAGACTTAGCCACATGGTTTATTTTTATTTTTATTTTGAGACAGGGTCTCCCTTTGTCACCTAGGCTGGAATGTTGTAGCATGATCTTGGTTCACTGCAACCTCTGCCTCCCAGGCTCAAGTGATCCTCCTGCCTCATCTTTCCAAGTAGTTGAGACTACAGGCACAAGCCAACACACCTGACTAATTTTTGTATTTTTGTAGAGACAGGATTTTTCCATGTTGCCCAGGCTGGTCTCGAACTCCTGAGCTCAAGCAGTTAGCCCTCCTCAGCCTCCCAAAGTGCTGGGATTTCAAGTGTGAGCCACCGCGCACAGCCTTGCCACATGGTTTTTTGATGTCCCATGGTCAGGTGCTCCATTTCTAGCAGGTTATAGTAGCATGACAGAAGCTGGTTTTCAAATGTTTTGTCATTCTCTGCTGTAGACAGCATAGTCTTGCTGCAGATTCTCAGAGGGTCTGTTAGGATTCTTGTAATGGTGCTTGCTGTAAACTCCACTTGGTACCTTGTACCACCACAGATATCATAGGATCTGCCAAGTCATATGTCCCAAGCAGTAGATCCTCCGTTCAACTCAGGGCCACACTGAAAGCTCGCCTTCCATGTCAGTTGATATATGGGTCAGAGCAGTATCCCAAAATACGAAGTGGGTTGTTTACAGAACCTGAAGACGCCTTTCAGGCATTATGCTTCCTTCTTGGTGGTAGCAGGTACCAGATGAAATAATTTGATCTTTACTTCGGAGGGAGTATCCTGATATACCTAGATCACACCCTTAAAAACTTTACTGATGTGCTTTGTAAGGTTCATCTCCAACCCCTTGGAGCACACGTATCTTACCAAGGGTTCCAGTGCACTTACTGTTTCTTGTTCATGGAGTATGATTTAATGCGATATCATCAGTAGTGAGCTCCTGGCGATCTGTGAAGTAGCCAGATCCAGATTCCTTTTTTTTTTTTTGAGACAGAGTCTCACTCTGTCACCCAGGCTGAAGTGCCGTGGCACAGTCTCGGCTGACTGCAACCTCACCTCCCGGGTTCAGGCAATTCTGCCGCTTCAGCCTCCTGAGTAGGTGGAACTACAGGCATGTGCCACTACGCCTAGCTAATTTTTGTATTTTTTAGTAGAGACAGAGTTTCACTGTATTGGACAGGCTGGTCTTGAACTCCTGACCTCGTGATCCTCCTGCCTCTGCCTCGAAAAGTGCTGGGATCACAGGTGGGAGCCACCTTGCCCAGCCCAGACTCTTTTATACTGTATTGACAGAGAATAAAAGCATTAGCATGGCCCTTGGGGAAGACTCTAAAAGTACACCACTGTAGACATCACATGATATAAACTGCCTCTGGTCTTTTGAGGGGTAGAAAAGAATGCATTTGCCTAATTAGCGGCCACATACCGTATGCCTGAGACCAAGTAATTCTCTTCTAGCAAAGGTACTACACCTGGCACAATGACTGAAATTGGGACCTACTTGCTAGTAGTCTACTGTTACCCTCCGGAATCCATCTGGTTTTGTATAGGTTGTACTGAGGAATGAAATGAGGCTTTGATAAGGACCTCCACCCCTGCATTCTTTAGGTCTTTATTGATCATCTTGACTGGGTAGGGAGGGGCGGTTTCAGTGGCTTTTACTTAGCTTACCCCAGAAGCCAAGAAGTTAGTTTGCAGGTACTGCCACCTACCTAGTATGACCATTTCAATCATTTGGGTACTGAAGACATGACCATTGATTTGGTGGATCCAGTAGACCTGCTGTGAGCTAGACGTGTGCCAAAATTCCATTTATTCTTTGGTGCCCACATGCCCCAATGCCATGATGAAGCTTCAGGTTTTCTGGTATCAGGGTCAGCTTAGACCCTGCATCCAGCAATCGTTAAAATGCCCAGGTCTTTCCTTTTCCCCAGTATACAGTTACTTGAATAAATGGCTATAGGCCCTTTGGAGGATGGGGAGAATCAACCATGAACATCTACCCTGTGATGTCTCAGGGTCTTACCTCCTGGGAGTTCTACCCTCTTCTTTAGGTAATAGTCTCGGGGACTTATAAAACTGACTTGGGCCTGGAAAATGAGTCAGAGATTGTGATTTTGCATGGGATACAGCCCTCAGCCTCTTTTCCATCTTTGACTTACCTTTTATTGTTTAGGCTGTACTCTGTTGACTACCCATCTACCTTGCTGTGAGAAATGTCATGTTCTGTAAACCATCTCTGTATCACTGGCTGTGAAATCCCTTTTTATGTTTTTTATTTTTATTTTTTTTGAGACAGAGTCATACACTGTTGCCCAGGCTGGAATGTGGTACTGCAGTCTCGGCTCACTGCAGCCTCCACCTCCCGAGTTTAAGCAATTCTTCTGTCTCAGCCCCCTGAGCAGCTGGAATTACAGGCACACGCCACCACACCTAGCCAATTTTTGTATTTTTCGTAGAGAACCCTCAAAGTGCTGGGATTGCAAGCGTGAGCCACCACACCCAGCCTGAAAACCCTTTTCAGCGTTTGCCTCCTTGGTCCAGTCCAGACCTGAGCTATTTTAGGTTGGATTCTCTGGTAAACAGACTGTACCGTGGAGATTTGCTTGCAAGAATTTTATTGGGAAGTAAGGCAACTTAAACTGGGATTCAGTTGCAGCAGGCCTCAGCCAACACCACAGGGGTCTCTGAAGCTGGGATGGCTCTTCAAAGATATTCTGAACTGAGGCAAAGGGATTGGACTTTTGTGTCACCCTCATTGACCAGGCACTGGATATGAGCTGTCCCCAAGGAATGAGAGGCATAAACTTGGGTGAGGCAGTTCCCTTGGCTGGAGATTCAACTACAAGCTGTCAGCAGACAGCATTCCTGGCAGGTGGCAGAATGAGCCCATAAGCCAAGAAAAAGAAGATCTGAGCGGTGCCCCTCAGCAGCCACTACAGTTCCCTTTTAGAATCAGCACAAAATGTCCTGGCCTCTTCTCTCTGAAGGGAAATACCTGATGTTTTACAAAGTAGAGCTAAAGTCTAGATACATCCTATTCAGTTTTAATTTGAGGTTACTATTTTAATTTGAGGTTTAATTTTAATTTGAGGTTACTATTTAAAAAAAAAAAGAAGGGAGATCCTTTAAACAGAAAGGGTTACTTACTTGGGACATATAATAATGTGTGCTTGCTTTCTATGAGAATTGCAGGGAACTAGAAGACAAGAAAAAGATCCAGAATCTCTTGGCTCTTGTGGGAACAGACGCTGGAGAAGTGACCTATTTTTGTAAGGAGCCTCCTCACAAAGTAAGTAATCCTTGGTGGAACATGGTGAGTGTGGCTTTACAAATCACAGGCTAGGGCCCATCATCAGAAGAACTTTAGCATTTGCTAGAGAAGGCAGATGGAGAATTAGCCATCATAGTGCCATGTTTGCCTGAGTTTTAAAAGCCTTTTTGTTCAAAGACCTTGGGAAGTAGCATTGTTTACCCTGTTTCACTGTTTAGAAACCTGAAGCCCAGAGGGGTGGCTGTTTTAGTTGAGATAGAGAGAAAAGCAGGAGCAGACTGTGTGTGGGAGACAGTTTTGGTACTTAAGTTGCTTTTTAAATCTTTGTTATGCTGATTGCAAATGTAATCCATTAAAAATAAACACAGAGTATAGTAATCTATCATATGAAAATGGCAGGTTCTCATAATCCTGTACCACAGAGATAATTCATTATTAATAGTTTGATATATATACTTCCATCTCTTTTTCCATTCCTATAGAAATAGTTATGTGTCTATGTATACTATTTTTTTTCACTTATATCAACAGTTTCTGAGCATTTTTATACATATCTATATATGTATATATCCATTTCCTAAAGGACTTTGGTAAAGAGCTGCTTTTTTTGTTGTTTTTTTGAGACAAAGTCTCACTCTGTTACACAGGTTGGAGTGCAATGCACAATCTTGGCTCACTGCAACCTCCGTCCCCTGGGCTCAAGCAGTCCGTTCACCCCAGACCAAGCAGCTGTGACTACAGGTGTGCACCACCATGCCCAGCTAATTTTTGTATTTTTTCTAGAGATAGGGTTTTACCATGTTTCCCAGGCTGGTCTCAAAACTCCTGAGCTCAAGCAGTCTGCCCACCTTGCCCTCCCAAAGTGCGGGGATTACAGGCATAAACCACCACATCCACCAAAGAGCCGCTTTTTAAGAAAATTTAAAAAAAATTTTTTTTAGACCTGAGGTCTTGCTCTGTTGCCCAGGGTAGACTCACACTTCTGGGCTTAAGCACCGTCCTTCCACCTGCAGTCGTGCATCACTGTGCCCCAAGCTATTTTTGTTTTTCTTTTTAATCATGTATTACTAAATAGCCTTCCAATTTTATTTAGGTATTTATTTTATTTTTTGAATCTTCAGCTTTCAAACAAGGTCTTACTTACTCTGTTGCCCAGGCTGGAGAGCAGTGGAGTGATCATAGCTCACTGCAGCCTTGAGCTCCTGGGCTCAAGCGATCCTCCCACCTCAGCCTCCTGAGTAGTGGGGACCACAGGCACATGCCACCACACCCAGCTAACTTTAAGTTTATATCGTCAACACAGGGTTTTATCCAATTTGTTACTTTGCCTGTGTGGCCTCTCATATGCATGGCATCCTTATATAATATCAATTTTGACAAATTTAACTTAGAGTGTTCGATCTGCAGAACTAAGGCTGAAAAGTAAAATATTACATTTATAGGAAGGCTACTTCTATACCAGTTTTTGCTTCTTCAGGTCACCATTCTCCAAAAGACTATCCAGGTTGTGGGTGAATGTGAGCAGAGTGAATCTTCAGCTTTCAAAGCAGGTAACAACAATATAACCTATTAGAAATTCTCATTGATGCAGAATTGAAAATCACAGTGCAGGCTGGGCACGGTGTCTCACACCTGTAACCCCAGCACTTTGGGAGGCTGAAGAGGGCAGATCACCTGAGGTCAGGAGTTTGAGACCAGCCTAGCCAACATGTTGAAACCCCATCTCTACTAAAAATACAAAAAATTAGCCGGTGTGTTCGCAGGTGCCTGTAATCCCAGCTACTTTGGAGGCTGAGGCAGGAGAATTGCTTGAACCCGGGAGGCAGAGGTTGCAGTGAGCGGAGATCACACTATTGCACAACAGAGCAAGTCTCTTTTTTTTTTTTTTTTTT